TTATAAAAATATTGGGGGAAGAGGGTGAGATAAATGAAGTTAGGTTTCATAAGGAGAAAGAGGATAAATTATTTTTACTGAAAACTAGTTGAAAAAAGATACGATAAAAAACGAGTAAAAGTAAAAACTCCGAAATTTAAAATTTATACATATGACACACACACACACACACAGAAAAATAACTTGGCTAAGTTGGGAAAGGTCGGGGGAAAAATAAAACCAGCCATATGGCAGAAATAAAAATACCCCCTTTACTAAAATCGGAGTTAAAAAACACTCTAGTCCCGATAACTCAGTCAATGTGGAAGGTTTAGAATTAAAAATTATGCCTATTTTTTTTTTTTTTTTTTGACAAAGGAGTAGAAAGAAGTAAAATTAGTTTATTTAGTTATAATATCTTCTTCAGTTATGTTGTATTTTTTTATAGCATGACATTAAAAATATTATAAATTTATTACATATAAGGTAAAAACTGATGCTGTTAAAAACGATTGCCAGTTTTGGTGATAAATTAACTAAGAGATTATGAGAACGCGAGTTTGTTAAAAAATTCAATGCTTTTGCAGAAGAGGCATTAGAATGTTTAGTTATAGTTAACAATGCTACTTGCTTAGGTGATTTAAAACTTAACGATTTACATAAACTAAAAGGCGATCGAAAAGGTCAATGAGCCATCAGTGTTGGCAATACTCAATACCGCGTCTGTTTTTACTGAGGCAAGGATAATAAAGCATATGAAGTAGAGATTACAGATTATCATTAAAATTACTTAAATTATGAATAATAAAAAATTATCACCGGTTCATCCTGGTCGTATCTTACAAAAACAGTTTCTAAATCGTTTAGGCATTACCCAAAGTCAATTAGCACGAGATATTAATGTTTCAACAAGAAAAGTCAATGAGATTTGCCAAGGCAAAAGAAGCATTACGGTGGATACTGCAGCTCGTTTAGCAATTTATTGACCAGTCAGTGCTCAATTTTGATTGGGCATTCAACAACAATATGATTGAGAAGTTTTTCAAGACAAATTAGAAAAAGAGTTAAAAAACACTATTCGGCCTTATCGGGGAGAATTGTCTCGTCAGCGAATTTAAAATTTCTATATATGAAAAAGGAAGAAAAAAATGGAGTTCTAAATATAATTTGTGATAACTTGGGGGAATTTTTCCACGAATTTAAGAAGTTTCGCGATGCCAAAAAATTTAATAACCTCACCCAGTTAGAAAATTTTCGTAAATATGTTGGTCATTGTCTTGGTTTTTGAGGAATAACCATGAATACCGGGAAGACTGCTACCGGAAAAGACTATGTAAAAGATGAAATAATTTCGACCTCAATAAGCCTTTGTGAACCCCCCTCGGGTAATGAAAAGATAAAATTGGTCTTAAAATTGCCTAATTTAAGCGAAGCAGAATTCGAAAATTACAGTCCAAAAATTAAAAAGGTTTTAGAGGAAATTTGAACTACTGGGGTAGCAAAAGTCACCCATGGCTTAGATTTGTATTGACCGGCACAAAGTCATTTTGCATGATGCGACCAATGCCACCAATACATAGAGGATAGAAAATTAGCCTATTTTAGTGATATTGAAAAAAATTTAGATTTTTGTTCTGAAAGTTGTCATTCCAAATTCAAGAAAAACAAGGAAGAAAACCAGCAATTAAAGGAACAATTAAAAAAAGAAACTAGCCATAAAAATATTTGAATGGTAATTTCTATTAGCCTGGTCGTTATTTTTTTCTTTACTCTCTTATTTGGTTGACAAAAAATAAAAAAACTCAAAAAACATTAAATGACTCTTCCTAATAAGCCCCGTGGCACGCAGGATATACTTCCTCCCCGCTCCCTCCTTTACCAAAAAATCCAGCAAATTATTACAGAAATATTACAAAAAAATAATTATCAGCCGATAATTTTCCCTACTTTTGAAGCGAAAGAGTTATTTGCTAGTTCTTTGGGTTCTACGACTGATATTATTCACAAGGAAATGTATACCTTTCAGGATAGAAAAGGGCGAGAGATGGCATTGCGACCGGAGGGAACGGCCAGCACGGTGCGGTTGGTCGGTCAAAATAAACTAATTAGAGAAGGTTATCCCTTGAAATTATATTATTGGGCTAATATGTTCCGTTATGAACGACCGCAAAAAGGGAGACATCGGGAGTTTTGACAATTAGGAGTAGAACTAGTTAATGCCAAAGGGGTGATTGCCGACTATCAAATATTAAAACTAACTGCTGATATCTTATGGGGACTGGGAATTAAAAACTTTACTTTTAATTTAAATTATTTAGGGGATGGTGCGGCCAAAGAAAAATACAAAAAGGAGTTAAAAAAGTTTGTTGAAAAAAATAACCCTAATTTGTGTGAGGATTGTCAAAGAAGATATAAAACTAATCCTCTCCGTTTACTAGACTGCTTAACTTGTAAAAAAAAAAATAACTTTCCTTCCTATAAAACCGCTTTAAATAAAGAAAATGCCGACTACATAAACGAACTGAAAAAAATTTTAGACAAATTTCAATTACCTTACCAATCTGATTATTATTTAGTGCGGGGTTTGGATTATTATACGGGACTAGTTTTTGAAGTTGATTTGGGGACCGAAAAAGCAATTTTAGGTGGGGGCAGATATGATAACCTTTACCAAGAAATAGGGGATATAAATGCTCCGGCGGTTGGTTTTGCCATGGGAATTGAGCGTTTAGTAGATTATTTAGAAAATTCATCATTATTAGAAATTAATGAAAAAGTTGACATTTTTTTTTTGGCAATTACCGCGGAGGCTTATTTTGATATTTTGGTTTGGAAAGAAGAATTAAAAAAATATCCCTTAGTAGTAGACTACAATTTGGAAGTTAAAAAAATAAAAAATCTCACCAAAATTATTGATTATTATCAGCCAAAATTATTGATTATATTGGGGGAAAAAGAGTTAAAAAGTAAAAAAATATTAATAAAAGACTGTCAAAAAAGGCAAGAATTTTTAGTGGAAAAAGTGAAATTAGTAAATTGAATTAACGATTATTTACAAAAATAAAAGAAAAATATGACCCAAAAAATAACTTTCGCAAAAAAGAATGAAATTGATGCCGTTCAAAAATTAAATGCCGCCGGACAAAAAACGGGATTAAAGGAAATTGATGATTGATTAATCAACCCCCAAACCGACCACAAGAGTGATTGAATTTTTCGAGTAGAAGTTGAGCCTTTTGAACTTGCTTTGTCTGATAAAAAGAGAAAAATTGAAACCATTGATTTTTTTGTAAATGCTAATTCTGGTCTTGTTTTTTTTCTCACCAATGCTTTGAAAAATGAAACCACTTTTGAATTACAATGAATTGAGGAGGCACTTGGAAAAGAAATTGGATTTTCTGAAACTCGTCCTAATACTTTGGTGGTTTATAGTAATCGTCTATGCGATGGGTATAATGAGGAAGAGCATAAAAAAATTAGGCAAAATTCGGACATTAGAGATTTAAAAGTTGATTGGGAAAATATAACCTTATTGGAAGGAGGTTTATCTTTTGATTTAATTTCTCCTTTGGCTATTCCTGCAAACGGCCATAACCTTACATTTAATAAGATTTTTTTGCCGCTTGATTATCCTAAGAAAAAGTATGAATTAATAAAGAAAAGATTGACCGAATGAAAAGAAAATAATAAACCTACTGTGATTAAAAATGCCATTTTGAGTACTAAAAGTTGGCTTTCAGTTAAAAATAGTAATATTTTATACATAACTGATACTGACCTAAAAGAAGGGGAAGTTGAAGGATTAACTGACGAATTACTAACAGAAGCGATTTTGGCAAAAATTAATGGCTGAGAAAAATTACCTTATCGAGAGAAAGCAAAATTCCTAGAAAGACATCCAAAAGAATCTGCCAAAGATATGAAAAATGAAATTGAAGCCGCTATTCGTGCCTTTGAAAATGGTGCTAATCTACCTAACCGCGTCCCCCCTCCACAACCAAATCCTAAACAAAATAAACTGCCAAAAAATAATACTTCTAACCAAATCCCTTGAAAAATAATTGTTCCTATCTCTCTTTTAGTTATTAGTGCTATTGTGGTTAGAGTAGTTATTGTCAAAAAAAAAAAAAAAAAACGCAAAGCATAATTAAAATAATGGGTAATTCTTACTAACTAGGCTTTTACACCTAATTCGTTAACTTAATATTAACCCTTTTTGCTGTATCAGTATACTAAATCTTAACTTTACCTGTATTCCACCATCGTATGGATCAAAGGCTTTTCTTTATTTCAATTCTTTAATAATTCTCCTTCCATATAATCTTTAATTTTCTCACCTCAATTCGGTTCCTTTTCATAGTTTTTATTCATTACTAGCCCGGCAATTTTTAATTTTCAATCATTAATCAAGTTCTCATTTTTTTTCATATTAATAAATCCGTAAGTGAAAATGTAAGGAGGAGTAGTTAATTTACTTTTTTTCTTATCGTAAAAAATCACTACCAACAAAAAACCTCCTTGGGACATTTTCTCCCGCAAAACGAGGTTATTATTTAACTCTTCCATTGGAAGCAGTCGTCCATTAAGAACATAATTCGGCTGGGCGGGAAGTTTCTTTTTACTCAAAAAAAATTCATTGCCTTTGGCTTCTACCACTTCTCCATTGCCACAGACAAAAATATTTTTTTCAGGCAGCCCTAATTCTTGGGCTAAATGTCCGTGCTTTTTTAACATCCGAAAATCACCATGAAAAGGCATAAAATAATG